TGTTTGGAAAGATAACTGTTGTTGTGATGTGGCGCTATATAAATAAAATTTAATTGAATTAATTTTAATTTTGTAATGTCATTGTCTGAACGTGTGTTTGGACTGATTTTGTATTTTGTGATTTTGTGTTGTTTGGTCTTCCTGCCTCAGGACCACAGATGTAAACTAGCAACTATGCTAGAAACTGGCTCATTTAAAATCTGTATGAGATTGTTCATTAATGTGCACTGTCCTGATTAAATAAATAAATAAAAACCTGTAGCTCGGCCTTCCTCAGCCGGCGGTAGAACTCGTCGTCCTCTCGGCCCCAGCCCCAGAACCGGTTCGACATCCCGTTGCACTGCACACAAAAGCAGATTTAAGCTCAGAGGAAAAGCTCACAGAAAATGAGTCAAACTGAGGAACAGGAACAAAATATGAGCAACTGGGACAAAAAACTGATGAAAAGGAGCAAAAAACTGATGAAAAGGAGGAAAAAAAATATGACAAGGAACAAAAAACAGTCAAAGTGCTTTAAATAAACTAAAAAAACAAGTCAAACTGATAAAAATAACAAATAAATTGTGTAACTGATAAAAAGGGAAATCATTTTAAAAAGGGAGGAAAAAATAGTCGAACTAATAAAAAGGAAGAAAAAAACAGTAAAACTGATAAAGAAAGAAAAAAAACAGTCAAACCAATGAAAAAAGAACAAAAAAGTCAAACTGATAAAGAAAAAAATAAATGAAAAAAATATTCATATATCCTCCTGTGATCACAATTTCTGTATTTTCAGTAATTTTCAGTTCATTTCATCCTTCTTACTTGTCAACTAAATTAAAAAAAGACTTAAAACAGCTAAACTAAATAAAAAATAGAACAAATAATTTTCAAACAATCTATTACCTCCATAAAAAATACAGGAAATCTCCTAAAGTCGAAAAGTCAGTAAAAATAAATGAACCAAGCTCATGAAAAAGGAAAACCAGAGAAGAAGAGTGTGGCTCCCTCTGGTGGTCGCCGGTGGAAGCGCAGCCCTCTAAATCCAGAAGTATAAACACATAAACAGACTCCTTATTGAGCCTGTTGGTCCGTTGCTAGGATACGGCAGCGCGTCTGCCATCTTGGATGTGGCAGAACTGCCCTACACTAATAAAAGGAACCGGACTGAACTCCATAAAGCGCCTTTCTGCAAAGTGTTTTAAGTTAATGCTTCTTATTCACCCATTTAAACACATAATAAAATATCAGGGAAGCAAATAGACACCAAAAAAACAACGTATGTAACTTTTAAAGTGATTATAAATGTTTACTCGCGTT